TGCTAGGTGGTGTACCATTTGCCTTTCTTCATTCTTGCCTATTTGTACTGCTCGCTCCATAGTGAACACCCCTTTTTGGCTTGCACTTTTCCCTCGCCACTTTCCTTCTCGTCACCCTCGCCTAGGTCAAACCCTTGACCCTAATCTTCATTCTCGACACCCCATTGCCCACAGGAGAAGCCTACACAGCTGCAAAGGCTTAAGGGAAGGTTCCAGGCCAAGACGAAGCTGAATCGGCCTCGGATAAATCCTTCCAATCCTACTCAGTTGGAAACTGATATGGAGTCAGCAGCTTCGAGCGCAGGACCGAGGGATGATCTATTCGACGTACCCTACGATCCTATAAGCGAGACCATCTACGGTTACTCGGAGCAGCAACAACCACTACTACTCGAGGTGATCTGCAACGGGCGACGCCTCCAGGCACTGGTGGACAGCGGTGCGTCTCACTCGGTGTGCGACCACGGGACATTGGAAAAAATTGGAGAATCTTCGGAGGAGACCAAGTTCACGGCAACGATGGTGGACGGTACGAAACTTCCCATCCACGGCGAAGCATCACTACAGCTGCACATAGGGGCGCTAAGGTGGAAGCCGACGTTACCGATCACGAACATCAACGGATCAGATTTCATCTTGGGGCGAGATTTCTTGAAGCGGTTCAACCCCGAGATCGACTGGGTCAACAGGAAGGCGTGCATCTACAACAACGGGAAGCGGATAGCACTGCGAAGCTGGACGGATACAGGGAATGTTTCTGAAACGACACTGGCACGGTTCGAACGGACGGTGAACGAGAGTAACACGGGCTACCTAGCACTGGTTATGGCAGCACCAGAGGAGGAGAAGCCGAGTTCGGAGCTACCTGCAGCAGTGAAGGAGGTCTTGGAGCAGTACAAGGATATAATGCCTGACGACCTACCTGCAGGCGTACCCCCAGCACGCACCCACGAGCACGAGATCGTGGAGGAACCATGTGCGAAACCCGTCTCACGAGCACCATACCGACTGAGTCCGACCGAACTGACAGACATGAAGAAACAGATAGAGTATCTACTGGACAGACAACTGATCCGCCCATCCACCTCTCCCTACGGTGCACCAGTTCTCTTCACTCCAAAACCAGACGGCAGTTTACGGATGTGCATCGACTACCGCGCACTGAACAAACAGACAGTAAAAAACAGATATCCCATACCGCGCATAGACGACCTACTGGATCAACTGCGCGGAGCAACAGTCTTTTCGAAGCTGGACCTACGGTCGGGTTACTGGTAGATCAAGATGGCAGACAACTCAGTCCACAAGACGGCGTTCCGTACCAGATACGGCTCCTACGAATACTTGGTGATGCCGTTCGGACTCTGCAACGCACCAGCGACGGTCCAGGCAGAAATGAACCATATTCTACGGCCCCTGCTGGACGAGTGCGTAGTGGTGTACCTGGACGATATCCTCATCTACTCCAAGAACATGAAGGAGCACGTGGAGCATCTGCGGAAAGGTGTTCGAGATCCTGCGGAAGAATAAGTTCTACGTGAAACTGTCGAAGAGCGACTTCGCACTGAAGAAGGTGCAGTTTCTCGGGCACATGGTGAGTGCCGAGGGCGTACACGTGGACCCGCGGAAGATCGAAGCCGTCAAGAAGTGGAAAGTTCCGGAGAACGTGAAGGAGTTGCAGCAGTTCCTAGGCTTCGCCAACTACTACAACAGGTTCGTGCCGCAGTATGCTAAGATAGCAGCGCCACTGACCGACCTACTGAAAAAGGATACGCCCTACAAATGGAATACTCCTCATCAGCAAGCCATGGAGCAGCTACAGACAGCACTGACTACAGCGCCAGTACTCATCTTACCAGATCCAGACAAGGACTACGTGGTGGAAGCAGACGCTAGTGACCAAGCAGTCGGAGCAGTACTGATGCAGGATCACGGACGCGGTTTGCAGCCCATCGCCTACCTCAGTAAGAAGCTACACGGAGCAGAACTGAACTACCCCATCCATGACAAGGAAGCCTTAGCGATAGTCATAGCCTTCAAGGCGTGGAGGTGTTACCTAGAGGGAGCCAAGACTACAGTCTATACTGACCACTGCAGTCTCAAATACCTGAAGTCGCAGCCGACGCTCTCTCGACGACAGGTGCGGTGGGTGGACTTCCTGGAAACTCACTTCCACTACGACATCGTGTACAAGCCCGGGCTACACAACAAAGTAGACGCGTTGAGCCGCCCCGGTCATGTAGCAGGCATCCAGCTCGACGGGATGAACCCTCTGCTCAAGGGTCTATTCCAACATGGGTACTCCGTGGACGCAGAGATCACTACAGCACAGACCAAGAAGCTGTTACAGTGGGAGAAAGACTTAGCTGTAAGGAAGGGTTCAGGAAAGATTTGGGTACCGAATTACGCCCCGCTACGGCAGATCCTCTTGGGGGAGTTTCACGACGTACCTTACGCGGGACATTTCGGGAGCAACAAGACGTTAGCAGGGATAGCGAAGTATTACTACTGGCCCGGGATGGCAGCAGACGTGCAGCAGTTCATCACCTCGTGCGACACGTGCTAGCGGATGAAGAGCAGCAAGCAGAAAAAAGCAGGGTTACTTCAGCCTCTACCCGTACCGGAGCAGCCATGGCAAGTCGTTAGCCTTGACTTCATCACGGGACTTCCTTCGACCTCACGAGGGCATGATGCCATACTCGTGGTGATCGACAAGTTCTCTAAAATGGGTCACTTCATACCGACCAACGCCACAGCTACAGCTGAAGCGACTGCTCGCCTCTTCTTCGACCGCATCATCACCATCCACGGCATCCCCGCTACACTCATCTCAGACAGAGACCCCAAATTCACCAGTAAGTTCTGGAAGGAGCTCATGGGACTGTTGGGGACAAAACTTGCAATGTCTTCAGCATACCACCCCCAGACTGACGGACAGACAGAGCGACTCAATCAGGTGGTTGAACAGTTACTGCGCACAGCTTGCAAAGACGACATCAGCCACTGGGACACACAGTTACCGACCTTAGAGTTCGCTTATAACAACGCCTCACATGCGGCCACAGGGAAAACTCCTTTCTTCCTGTGTTACGGACGGGAACCACTCACACCACAGCAGCCAACTACACCGGCACACGTCCAAGCCGCACATGACTTCGTCACCACCATGCAGCAGCTATGGGAGAAGACTCAGCGACGTCTCACCACGATGCAAATCTCCCAGAAGCAGTATGCCGATCGTCAGCGACGAGATCACTCAGTAGCAGTCGGAGATCAGGTGCTTCTTGACACGCGCAACTTGAACATGTCTCACCTCCCATCCAAACTCCGGCCTCGCTTCTGTGGTCCTTTTCTCGTTGAGGCACAGGTGACACCAGTTACATTCCGCTTGCGCTTACCAGATACATGGAAGCCCTACAAGGACCCCAACCAACAGTTCCAGGGACGGCAGCTACCGCCACCACCACCTGTTCTCATACAGGATGAACCCGAGTACGAAGTGGAGCGTGTTCTCACTCATCGGCGCCGCGGCGGCAAGACCCTCGGGTTCCTGATCCGCTGGAAGGGATACGACCCCACTGAGGACAGTTGGGTTGCAGAAGCTGATATGGGCAACGCACGCCGTGCTCTCAAGGACTATCTTGTCAAGCAGGGTGTATCTCACGCCACCCAGCTTTGATGGGGGGACGTGTGAGAGTACGACGGCTTATGCTGGCTTTGCTAGCTTGCCTGAACTTTATTATGCTATATCTAGCTTGGGTTTGTTTTATCATGCATAGATATGCTTGATTTCCTAGGTTAGGTGCATTCCTATACTTTATTATAGTTATAGCACCGAACCAGGTTACGTGTACCGAACTCAAGCCTATTCGGTTTCCACCGAATTGCTTTCTACTGAGTTCGGGAAGGTTCTGTTCGGGACGCTTCGCGACCCTCAGAACATTCGCGTAACACCTGGGTAACTGGCCTTGTGTCGAGCCTATATATAGCCTCGTCTTGTACCCAGGTGAATCATTCAATTACAATTCTCTTTTCTGAGCTCGATCCTAGATCCTCACAGGAGTGGTCAAGCGAGTCAGCTCCTCTTGCGCCCAGGAATGAAGGGGAGTGTTACGATATGAAGTTTTATGAGAAGACATTCCTGTATGCTGCAGGAGTCGACTCTACCGAGTACGAAGTCGAGGAGTCAGAAGAGTCGAAGCGACGCGGTAACTGCCTGACCAAGACCGATGCAGGCAGAAACATTTGAAGTGAAAAGAGCGGGAACATGTTCAAACGGGTTCCCGCGCCGCACGGTTTGAAATTGCTGTAATAAGGGAATGTACCCCTTAGAGTACATGACTAGTCTAGGTCTTTTCGTATTCCCCTGTATTCTTACATAAATTCGATGTATGCATGCTATTATCAACTCAGTCATTTACATTCACTCTGACCTGAGATTCAAACTTCCGCTGCAACACTACTCTGCGATCAACCCTGAGCGATCCTTCGCTAAGTCCCACTTGGGATTGCAACAGATTCAGACTACACGTTTTTTTTTTCCAACCACGAAAAAAAATTGGATGAACAATTGAAGCTCTCTTGTGAGTGGTATAATAAAAATTCCACCAACATATGCGATAAGACAAGATCCTCCAAACGAGTCGTTTGCATAATGGCAGTAACGCGGCCACGTATAGCGCCAAATGGTCCTTGTCATTTTCCTTCCACCATCCAGGGTTCGGGTTTCTACGGAGGTTTATGTGCCACCAGCAGGAGCAGGAGGATGCTGTGAGCATGATTGGCATCCCTCGTACTTTGTCAGGCGCAAGGCAAGCGCTCCTCCCCTCCCCCCTGTACCCCAACATCACGTCCAACCGAAAAGGGTGCCACTGGGTCTGTCGGTTCACTGATTATTCCAATCGGGTCAGATCCTTCCACCTTTTCCGTGCATTTGCTTTTTTTAGCTTGCCGTTGAGAATCTCGGTCGGGCGTTTATCGTACCGCACTGCGAGGGAGCCATGGGCAATCAGAAGGCGGTGCGGTTGAAGCACAAGGGCGTGGACTTCAAGGTACGATCGGCCGTTAGAGTTACCCGGTATGATCGTTACGGTCAATCCTTAGGTCGGTCGTAAGGGCCGCCTGTTCGATTAATCCGTCCTTAGGGATCGCGTGTAGGACCGTTAGCGTCTCGTCGTACCCTGCATTTCGTTGCGGAAAGCTCGTCGTCACTCGCGGGTGTGGCGCCTCGCGTCCTTCGCTCTACGTGCGCGATATCCGCGTATCTCCGTCCAGCAGTTGTCGCGCTCACGCGCACTGCGCACTACCGTCTCGCCGCACCGTGCGCTCGCCACGTTACATGCCACTTCGCCACATTGATTGCCGCCACACAGCGTCTCTCCACCTGCCTGCACCGGCCTAGACCGCCTCGTCCGCTGCCGCTACAGTTGTCGATCCGTTTATAGCCTCGTCTCACCCCGCCTTGATCCGACCGCCCGTGCATTCGCTCTGCGCTGCCCGCGCATTGCCTTTTGGTTGCTCCGCGGCTGCATCAACACGCGCACGGCCGTGTGTTGCCGCTTGCTTCTCGTACTCCCACCTTCTTACTCCCTCTTTCCCGGCCCCTCTTCCTCTCCCCCTCCGCCCCTCTTCCTCGATCCCTCCGCGCGCCACTCAATGCGCGCGCGCATGGCAGAAAGTGCGCAGCAAGGTGGGGCGCAAGCTACCGCCGCCGTCCAACGAGACCAAGACCACCGTCAAGGCCAAGAGTGAGTGAGCCGAGAGTCAACACAGTGACACCCCCTCTCCCTCGCTCCCACTCCCCCCCTCCTCCGTGACTGCTCGTTCTCCCCTTCTCATTCCTCTCGGCGCGCCCTTCCCGCTTCCCGCTTCTTGTTGATCCAGCGATCCTGTTTCCCCTTCTCTCCCGTTCCAAATCACCATTCGCACATCAAAATCCCGCCCATCGGCGTTTGAGGTGCCTCCCTCCATCCTCCACCCCCCCTCAACCCCCCACGTCCCGACCCCCACCCCCCTCCTTTCAGCCATCGTGCTACCGGGCCAGAAGCTGCTAGACGATCGGTTGCAGGCGGCGGTGACTCTTGAGTCCACTCAAAAGCCACCCCCCCACAACCCCCGCCCACCGTTACCCCTTCCCCCCCACTCCCCTTTCCCCCCACCCCCCTTCCCCCCCTCCCCCGTCCCCCCCTTCCCCAGCGATCGTGCTGCCGGGGCAGAAGCTGCTGGACGACCGGTCGCAGGCGGCGGTGTCGCAGAGGGGCCACACGCTGCCGGAGCTGCTCGCCCAGTCCGGCCACTACAGCGACAAGGTTCGGCAAGGTAGGCTCGGCAGGAGGAGGCCGGGCAGGCAGGGCGTGGATGGTTGGGCATGGCGTGGGCAGGGAATGGGGGGCATGGAGGGAGGGAGCACGGGGGGTATGGCAGGAGCGTTCACTTCCCTGTGCGTGCTGCCACCGCCATGCTGCACCATCGATCATCTCCACACAGTCTTCGCCCCTGCCACTCCACTCACACCTCTCCTCCCCTCTCTCTCCTCTCCCATCCTCTCCTCTCCTCTCTTCTCCTCTCCCTCGCTCTGCCGGCCAATCAGAGTCGCTCGTTCGCCTGCGCGAACTGCTGGCAGCCAATCCCGATGAGCTGAGGCGCCATGCTGGCACCATCCTCGCCAAGCTGGCGCCACGCATTGCTGACGTGGACAAGAAGACAAGAGACTCCCTCCTGCTATTGATGCGCAACGTGCTTTTCCCGACCATGCAGCCCGAGGTGCGTGCGGTGCAGTGTGGTAAGAGGGCGAGGTGCGAAGGCAGGGTGGACGAGGGCAGGGTAGATTTCTGCAGGAGGGGTTTGGGAGGAGGAGGGTGGGGAATGGAAGAGAGGAGGGGTTGTGTCGTGGCGCCCTGGCTTTCACGGCATGAAGACAGTCACCTTGCCTTGTCTGTACCATTGGAGAGGGGGGGGTTGAAGGGGGGGACGAGTGGGGTGGGAGAGGTGGGCGAAGGGATGTGTGTGTGGGATGCGATGCGATGAGCTGGGTGGGGGTCCGGCAAGGAGGAGGGCAGGGCGTGTTGAAGGAAAGGAGAGGGGCAGCAAGGTACCTACCTACCTACTTACTTACCGCATGGCTGCCCGCATCTCGCCACATCGCAACCCCCACTGCAGCTCATCCCCACCACCACGTGTGTGTGTCCTAATACACCCCTCTTCCCTCTCTCTCCCCATTCCCAACTCCCATCCCCCCTTCTCCCCCCCCTTCCCACACACCAGGAGCGCATGGCGCCATTCTTCACGCTGCTGATGGGCCACGTGGGCTGTGCCATGACACACGTGGCGCCGGACATCCGCCATGCCGCGCTGCCATTCCTCTCAGCGCTGCTCGCCCACTACCCCTCGCTCTTCCGCTCCTCCTCCACCGCCCAGGTACTCTCAGCCCTCCACCGCCCAGGTACTCTCAGCCCTCCGCTCCCCACCCCTCCCCTCCTCTCCCTCCCCACCCTCCCCTCCTCTCCTTTTTATCTCCACCTCATGCATGCGCGGTTGACTTGACTTCAAGCCTTGTAACCACTTGACACCGTTCCTCCCTCTTCACATACTCACCGGCCCATCGTTATTTCTTCCTCTCCTCCTTACAAGTCTTCTCCTCGCACCACCATCCGTGTCATCCCCTTGCCTCCCCTCACCTTCCGCCCCATCGTCAGGTGGTGGCACATTTCAGTGACATGCTCGCCCTCGCCTCGCCCTCTGCGCGCTCCTTCCCCGCCCTTGCCACCACGCTCGCCGCCCTCACCTCCTTCCTCTCCACCGCCTTCCCCCACACCTCCTCTTCATCCTCCCCTGCCTCCTCCTCCCCCACCGTCCCATCCCCCTCCCCTCTCACCGCCTCGCCCTCCCTCATCCCCCCTGGCTCCGCCCTGCCTCTGCCCACCTCCCCCTTCACGCACCCACTCCCCACTCTCTCCGCCCCCTTTCCCCCAGCCACCACCGCGTCCGCGCCCTCCCCCCCCTCCGCCTGCGTGCCCCCAGTGGAGTACAGCTGGCGCCTGGGTGTGCGCCTGCAGCGCGCCCCTCTCCTCTCCGCCCTCTCCAATGGTGGTAACGAGTCTGGTTACCAGGTGCTCTGGTCACGGGAATCCGACGGGCCAATTACAGCCCTCCACTCGTACCGCTCCGCCCTCCCCCCTCCTTCCTCCTCCACAGCCACCCACCTCCCCTCTCTCTCACCCTCGCTCCACAGTACAGGACAGGCTCTGTCCGCTTCGAAAGAGACAAAAGCAGCAATCGGGCCGGGAGGGCAGCAAGCAGCAGCAGCAACAGGCACGGCAGCAGCAGAGGGGGGTATGGAGGGACTAAGCCGCCCAGCAGGCATAGCAGCGGCGCTCATCCCGCCTGTGCTTGCTGCTGTCACAGAATGCCTTCCCCTCGTCTCCGCGCCCTCCCCCCACCTGCCCGCCCTCGCCTGCCTGCACTCCGCCCTCTCCGCCCTCCACTCCCTCCTCTCCCTCCACCCCCCCTCCCCCGCCACCCTCCTCTCCTCCTCAACCCCTCTTCCGTCCTCCTCCTCCTTCCCTTCTTCCCCCTCGCCCGGATTCGCGCCTACCCACTCCGCCGGGTGCCAGTCATTTTCCTCCATCTTTCCGCACATGCCTGAAGCTGCTGCAGGCGCAGCACTGCCAGCTCAGCAGCACCAATCCCAGCCGCACCAACATCAGAATCACCAGCAGCAGCAGCAGCAGCAGCAGCAGGGCGGGTACGGGGACGCGCTGTCACGGGTGCTGCACAAGCTGGGCACGGCCTTCCCTCTGCACGCCCCTGCTGGCCTCGCCGCTGCTCGTGCCAAGGGCACCAAAGGCAGCAACGGTACCGCCGGTGGGGCAGCAGCGGCAGGTGGAGGGCAGCAGAGGGAGGTGGGCGAACAGCTGGCGCTGCTCAACGTGCTGCTCGCTGAATGCCTCTCTCTCTTCCTCCCTGCCTCCGCCGCCGCCGCTGCTGCTGCTGCTGCTGCTGATGGGTCCGGTGCAGCTGGTGCTGGTGGGAGGGGTATGGGGAAGAGGCGGAGGGGTGTGCAAGGGGAGGGGGGAAAGGGGACGCTGGGGGCTGGCGGAGGGGATGTGCGGGGGGAAAGGGGGACAGGGAGGGGAGCGGTGAGGGGAGACGCGCGAAGGAGGTTGCTGGAAGGGAGCAGATTCGTGATTCGGATGAGCGGGGGGAGTAAGGAGTGGGGAGGAAAGGGAGGAGGGGGAGGAGGGAACGAGGGAAGCAAAAGGAAGAATGGTGTACGAGAGAGCGAGCGAGGGAGGGGAGATACGGGCGATGTCGAGGAAGCAGAGGAGGGAGGGGACGAGGAGGGGGAAGAGGCGGAGGAGGAGGAGGAGGAGGAGGAGGCGAGGGAGGAGGCGTGGGTGGGGCAGCTGTATGAGTTCATAGAAGGGGCGATGGAGGGCAAGGTGAGAGGCACTGCATGGTGGGGCGGGGTGAGAGGTGGGGCGGGCCCGATGAGGTATGGGGGCGTGTATGTGCGGGGGCTGGGGCATGGCATGGGGCCAGCTGGGGGGGCAGCATGGCGGTGTGTTTGTGTTACGGCAGGTTGACGTGGCAAGGCTGAAAATGATCCGCTGCCTTCTCCCTTCTCCCCTCTCCCCACCTCCCTCCGTCCCCTCCCCCGTGCCGACTCATTCCCTAAAATCCGTTCCTTCCCCTCTCTCCGTAACTTCCCCCTTTCCCTTCCCTTTCAGCTCCTCCCTGCTCCGACCGCTGCGCCAATCCTATCGCGCCACGTCAGCGAGTCCCTCATTCGCCGCCTCCTCCCTCTCTTGCCGACCCTCCTCCATTACGCCCCCTCGGCCGCCCGCCACGCCTCGCTGCTGGGCGGCTTCTCTCGTCTCTTCTCCGTATCGCCCGCCCGCAGTGCCACCCGGGCTGCCTGCCTGGATGTGATGTTTGGGCTGCTGCAGCAACAGGCGGTTGGGGCGGATGGGAAGGCAGGGGGCGAGGGTGGTGAAAAGGGTGAGGGGGAGGGAGGGGGAGAGAAGGCAAAGAGAAAAGGAGGGAGGCGAGGAGGGGCGAGGGGGGAGGAAGGATTGCCCGAGAAGGTGGTTGCTGATTGGCTGACAGCTCTTCCCAGACTGCTCTGGGACATCGGGGCCTCCCATCCTGCCACATCATTGGTAGGTGCCACGTCACTGATAGGTGCCACGTCACTGGTAGGTGCCACGTCACTGGTAGGTGCCACGTCACTGGCAGGGTTATTACCGCAGAACCAACTGGCAATGTAAAAGCGTCTGTGTTGACTGCTTTCTGGTGGCACGTTGTCGCCCTCACTGCCTGTCTTTGCACCTTTCACTCGACACCATACCAAACCCCATACCACCCCTCCCTCTCCCTCCACTCCCCCCCTCCCTTCTCCATCCCCCCTCCATCAGACGGTGCTGCGCCTCTTCTTCCGCATTGCCTCCATCTCGCCACAATCACCGCCCTCCCCCTCCTCCTCCGCCCCGCCCTCCTCCTCGTCCCTATCGGAGCACATCAGCAGTGTGCAGCCGCTGCTCGTGCCCTTCTTTGCCGCCTCCATTGCTGCTCGCCCTGCCGCTCCAGCCACACCAGCCCCATCACCCGCAGCAGCAGCGCCAGCAGTCGAAACAGCGGCGGCGGAGGAGGCAGCAGCGGGGCATCGGCTGGTGGTGGGGCCGTTCCTGCTGCTGCCAGCGCCCCTGCAGGCGCTCTCGCTGGACCTGCTGCTCTGCTTCCCCCACCTCTCCCTCCCCCTCCTGCAGTCCCTCGCTGTCTGCTGCATCGCCTCCCACTCGTTACACTCACACTTGTCGGAGTCACAAACCCAGCAAGAGCAGCAGCAGCACAAGGGGCAAGGCACGGAGCAGGACGCGTCTGAAGCAGCAGCACTGCTGCCACGTGGCATGCGGTGGTTGGCGGGGAGGGCAGTGGAGGTGGTGGGAGCAGCGCACAGGAGGGGAGCAGTGGGCTTGCCAGAGTACCTGGGCTTCCTCGTCTCACTGCTGCTCTCCCGCACTCGCGCCCACTCCCACCCCGACATCACCACCGCGTTCCAAGGGCGAGTGAGGCGACACGAGGAGGCGGAGAGGCAGCACCACCAGCGCCACAGCCACACCCACGCGGGTCAGGCGGACCCCAAGGGTGAATTGAAGAGCTCTCCACCGTCGGATCTTCCTCGGAGCAAGTCAGCGGGGTCGAGACGGTTCCTGGAAGATTCTTCGGGGTTGTGTCGCGAGATATGGGAGCGGGAGCCGGCAGTGGGGGCGGTGTGTGCGGCGTTGGTGCATGTGCCCGTGGGGGGTGGGGTGGGGGGCGCGGTGGGGGGCAGTGTGGGGAATGGAGGGGGCGTGGGGGGCCAGGCAGGGGCGTTGATGGACGGAGCAGCAGTGTTGGACCTCGTCTCACAGCCACTCGCTGCCGCCCTCGTGAGTGCTTGCTTGCTACCCGCCCGGGTGAGTGCCATGCCACTCATCTGATCACTGCACACCCGTCCCGTGCCTCACCCTGAACATGCCTTGCGTTCCCCTTGCCCTTCCAGCGCCCTTCGAGCCCCCCCACCCCCTACCCGCCCATCCCGTCGCCCCTGAAACATGCATCCCTCTGTGCCCGCATTAACAGTCTCGTTTCTTCCCCCTTCTCGTCTGCCCTGGCTCTCTCACTCCCACCGAAATCTCTTTCCAAATAGGCCCGTCCCGTCCACCTACCCCCCTCTCTCACATTTCCCCCCTCTTCCTCCTTCCCCTCCTTTTCTCCTCCCCTCCTTTCCCACCTTCCCCTCGTCCCCTTCCTACCCCTCTTTCCCTTCACCCGCATTCCACCCTCCCACACCCTTGTGCCCCCCACAGGCCGACCCCAGCACATCCCTGCCATCCCTGGCATCTTCCCTGCTGTCACTGCCTGCTCCCAACGGTCTCTCTCCCTCGTGTCCCTCCCTCACCCCCTTCTCTCCCCCCACAGAGCGACCCCAGCACCTCCCCGCCGTGCCTCTACGGCATCTTCCGCGCCGTCGCCGCCTGCTCCCGCCGCGCCCACCTGCACCCCTTCCCCGCCCCCCTGGGAGTCATGCCGGGTGTGGCGGAGGTTGGAAGTGGTGCAGGTGGAGGGGGTTTAGAGGGGGACCAAGGGAAGGGTGCAGCGCCAGTAGAGGCTGCAGACCCGTCAGTCTCAGCTACAGCAGCGGCTGCAACAGCTGGTGGTATCGAGGAGTGTGAAGGCAGTGCGCAGCCTTCAGCACAGCCGTCACCATTGTCATTGGCATGTGCACCGACACAAGCACCTGGGTCCATGTCACGCCAGGCGACCACCTGTGTGCCGCCGTGCCTGTCAGCGCTGCTGCCAGCCAGCCTTGCTCGCTTCTGCTGCCACCTGCTTCAGGTACTTCCGCCGAGTTTAACTCGTCACCTGTCGCGTAGGATTCTTCCCTCCCGTATCCCATATGTTTCTTCTACTCTCGCATATTATTCCTCTTGTACAGCGTATGATGCTTTTGGTGATCTCACACACGTGATTCTTCTCGGATCTCGTAAAATGCTGCACCCCACCATCAGGAGCATATTTCCTTCCTCCTCCTCTCGCCCGCAACGCCCGCGCCTGTTCCCTTTGCCTCTTCCCACTCACACTCGACCACGAGGGCGTCTCTGCTGCGCGGTTGTCCCTGCCTGGTGCCCGCCCTGCGCCTGCTCGCCCTGACCCACTTTCCCCTAACCTCGTTTCCTCACCCGCACCCCCTTACAGGAGCACCTTTCCTCCCTCTCCACCTCAACCCCCTCACCTGCGCCCACGAGGACGTCTCTGCTGCGCGCGTGCCCGTGGCTGGTGCCCGCACTGCGTCTGCTCGCCCTGCACCCTTTCCTGCTCGCGCCCTTCCTCCACCTCCTCCTCCTCCGGACAGAGAAGCAAGAGCGGGGCGCATGGGCAGTGGCCGGAAAGGCAGGGAGCGCAGGGGCAGGGAGCACAGGAGCTGAGGGCGAAGGGGCAAGCGTGCAGGCAAGAGCGGGCGTGGTGTGTGTGGCGGTGCTGTGGGGCCCGTTGGAGCAACCGCTGCTACTGCTGGGGGTGGCAGACAGGCAACAACTCATAGCTGGCCTCGCAGGCTTGACGGTGAGTGCAGGGGAGGAGAGATAGAAAGGAGGCGAAGGGGGCAATGGGGCACGGGTGGTGTGAGAGAAGGGCAGGACATTTGGGAGGGGAAGAGACAGTTGAGGAGGAAAAAGGGGGGTTGTACGAATGGGATGGTGGAGCATGCATGGTTGAACAGGACGGTTCATTCCTCAACCCTTCTGCACATGCATACCTCCCATCTCCTGTCCTTCCCCTCCCACTCATGCTCTCCCCTTCCCCTCTTCTCCTCCCACCCCACCACCCACACCACAGCAAGCGGTGCAGGCAGCAGCAGGGGGCGGCTCTTCTGTGGGGTGGTGTGAGGCTCTGCTCTCTCAGGCACGCTCCCGCCTCGCTCTGCTCTATGGCTGCTGCTGATGCCCCTCATGCTTTGTCTGATGCTCACCACCACCACCACCACCACCACCGCTGCTGAATAGTGCTCTCGGGATTCGTTCAAGTTCACGCATCTGTTGTGAGCGTTTGGTGTAATCATTCCGGTGTAGTGTGATCATTGCTCCAAACTTTGACAGTGCAGGGCGTAATATTGCTTTATTTTTTTGCAACAATAGGTGTACTGGTAGATAGTCGTGTCGCGCACCGCATGGAAATCGTTCCATACAAGCCAGCCGTCTCTTTCTGCGAGTGAAGCTATTGATGCTGCAAATGAAAGGTAAGGCAGCACCACTTGGGCATATCGGTACCGGCAGACACTCCTTCCTGGAATCCAGGAAGTATATTTTAACCCCCCCACCATGTGGACAGATGGAGAGGAGGATGCAAGTCCAATATGAAAGGCTCAGGAATTTGTGGAGTGCAGATGGTATGGGACGCTGCATGCTGCATGCTGCATGCTGCACGTGTTGGTTGGTGCATGGTGGCTATGTGGACCGGTCGGAGGAGAGAGGTGCATCAGTCAGTACAAGGAATAAGGATGTCTGGCGATGTGGTGGCGTCAGCAGTTGTGCGGCTGCTGGGCCTCACAGTGTTCTTTGTGTGTTGCGTGTCTTTCTGGTACAGATGCGTTGTGCACACAGGGCATTTGTTGAAGCAGCATAGAGGTACGGTAGAACAAGTGAAATTTAATATTCACGGTATAACAATAAACGGTACAATTTATTACCACCAACCAGACACCAGGGGACCAGGAGCAGGCAACACAGAGAGGCAGAGACAAGCTAAGGCAACAGCACTATGGGTTGCACCTCTGCTCCTCCCCTCCCTCCTGCACGCCCCCCTGCCACGTCCCCATCACACCCATGCCTCTCTCAGGCAACTCCGCCGGCTGACTGCCTCTCATGTTCCTACCCAAATCTTCACAACCTTACATCTTACATCTTCACGTGCTCACAATCTCTCCACCCCGCAACCCCGTAAGTCCCTCCACAGATCCTCCCTCTACCGCCCTCCACCGCGCAGCACCGCTTTACAGGTAGGGGGGCTCGGGGTTCCAGTTCCAGGGCATGCCATTGGGGTGGGGCCGCCGCCCACCCAGTACGGCTTGCTGTAGATGTTGGGGATGGCGCACTTGCCATTAAACCCGTTGCTCAGGTGGTACGGCTTGCGCGCGCACTGCATCAGAATCGTCACCCAGTCCGCGTACCCCACGCTCTCCAGCCACACGTTGCCGAACGCGCGCCGCCCGTATGCGGAGGGGTTGACGCCCGGGCACGTGGCCCACAGCGACTTGTAGCCGAGCTCGGTGGTGTTGATTGCCTGGCAGTTGCAGCCGTACCGGAACCACATGCCGTAGTTGCTGCTCGCGTTGCACGTGTACTTGGTCGTCATCTGCGTCCACCCCAGCGCGTCGGAGGGGGAGGTGAAGGAGAGCAGGAGCGCCGCGGTGAGGGAGAGCGCCAAGAGCGGGAGCAGCGGGAGCGCGCGGCGCGCCGAGGCGGCGCGGATGGTTGCCATGGTAGCGGCGGCGGTCGTGGCGGAGGTGGCGGGTGGAGAGTCAAGCGGGAGAGAGGCTGGTAGGCGGTGAGGTGGTGAAGAAGAGTGCGAAGGCGTGGACTTGACTCCGAGAGTCAGATTTGGAAGGAGGCGGGTGAGGAGAGAAGGCGGAGCTGAAGACCGATGATGGTATTGGGATGGCAGTAGCGGGTTTTATAGCTCCAACAAGACGGGTATGGCAGACTGCTGGGCGTGAGACTGAGACGAACCGCGACCCCGAGGCGCTCCGAAACACTTTCTCTACCCTACCCTGCCTTGCACTGCCTTCCTTTTTCCTGCCCCGCCCTGCCTTGCCCTGCCCGTCGCCTCTTGCCCGCCCCGCCATGCGTCCCGCTGCTCCAAGCGACGCTGGGTGGTTGTTGCGAGTCAGGTCGACCGGACGACACGAGTCGTCGTGATGACGGGCAGGCAAAGAGCCATCATCGTGTGCCGCGTCGACGCGCACCGTTGCATGCTACTAGCGGAGTCCGCGGCGGTGGTGGGAAACTCAACTACTTCAACTACCCAGTAGTACTATCGGAGCGGAGGAAGCATCGGGCATCGACAGGTGACGCAGCTGCTGCTGCAGCTGCAAGGCTGCCTGCCGTGCGTGGTCGGGCTAGTCGAATAGGCGCGTGTGGCTCGATGGAACCAGGGGGACTGTCTTGTTCCCCGCTAGACTGGTGGGTGTCGAGTCGAATCCAACTGTCGATTTCGAGTCGCGGATGAATTCGCCGAGGTGGTTGTTGGAAGGGAATTACTAGGAGACGGAACGACACATTCGTTTTCTGGCTGTCATGCTTGCGTTGCGACAAGGGAAGGAATGGAACGCGAAATCTGGCGGTGGGATGAATGGAACGACTTGCTGAGACTCGCCGCGGATTGCGTCGCGGGGCGATGAAACGTGCGATGGAGGATGAACGGGTGTATCGACGACGGTCGATTCCGTACCCCGATGCACGATGCGGTAAACCGTCCGATCTGATGCCAAAGGAACAACCTAGAGGATTTTTCCGAAAGACATCGCGGATGGAGATTTGAGAGAAGACAGATCTGGTTTTTGCTTGCTTGTCGCCTTTGTGTCGTTTCGTCTCCATGCTTGCTTTGTACGGTTGACTCGCGACCAAATTCTTCGTTACAGAGTTCTTGTTATATTTGAAGACGAAACGGCGGAACCAGTCATGTAAAAAACAAAAACTGGTTTGGTACAAGAGTTGTCATTTTTAGCACAGGTACGAGTGATGGGGAGAGCTCCTCTCTTGCTCCATCACTCGGCGGCAAACAAACCAGTAACCGTTGCTTTAGTAACCGTCGGGTTACCAGTAACGCCTCCTCGATCTCGTCAATCAGGCAATTTGCTACACCTTCCACGCGAAGCTCGCTCGAGTAGGGTGACCAGTTACTTCAGAAACCCTCATTTATGCTCGCGACAGCCTGAAAGATCGCGTGTAGCAGTCGCTCAGGCAGGCCCCGCAACAAACGGAATGGCCGGTATAGTTGACGGGACAGAGTTGACGGACGTCAGAACTAACCAGGAACGTCTGGCGGATCAGGGCCCTAAGGCGGACTCTACCAACCACGAATCGGCCATTGCCGTCGGATCCACTGGGGATGCCGATTTAGCTGATCCTGCAGATAGTTCACATCAGGTCGTCTCTGCGAAGGGTTCGATGCTTCCCAAACCCGCAGGGGACAGGGTTTTAGAGGATGGCGCGCGGGGGAGCAGCGCGCGGAAGAAGCGGAAAGGGGGAATTGATGGGAAGAGCGGGTCGAACGGGGAGGGCGAGGGGAAGGGTGAGAGTGCAAGCGGGAGGGGGGGAGGGAAGGGGGCGAGCGGAGAGAGTTGCGGGTTATGGTTGGCGAAGAAGGGGCGGGCGTGCTCCAGCCGCAGGAAGCCCGGCCACATGTACTTCCCTCCCCTGTCCCCCCCGCTCCTCTAGGGTCACTTTTCAGGGTTTTGCTTTCTAGGTTTAACTTTCCAGGGTTTTGGTTGGCAAAGAAGGGGCGGGCGTGCTCCAGCCGCAGGAAGCCCGGGCACAAGTACTTCCCCGCCCCCCTGGACCCCGTTCGTCTAGGGGTCCGCTCTCTCGGACTTCTCTTTCTAGGGCTTTGCCTCCCAGAACTTCGCTTTATAGTGTTCCGCTTTCCATGTTTTTCGCTTCCTAGGGTTGGGCTTTCTAGGGTTTAGCTTTCTAGGGTTTTTGGCCTTGCATTTCCTCCCGGTGCCATCCCCATCAAGCCATCCCCTCGCCCATCCCCCCTAGGTCATTCCCCCTCGCCCATCCCCCTTAAGCCATGCCCGCTCGCCCATCGTCCTGCTTTCCCCACACTCATTCTCCCTCGCTTTTCATCTCATCTCGTCCCGTCTGCCCTCCCTGTGCGGTGCACCTGCCCCCTCGCCCCCCGTGTTACAGGTTCTGTGGTAACCACATCCCAGAGGTTGCAGCACTGCGAGTGCCCTGCCCGGTCGACCCCTCCCAGTACGCTCCTCTCCTCTCCCCCTCCATTCTGCGCCCCTCATTTGTCTCCTCTCCTCACTCTCCTCCTCCTCTCCCCACCCCCTCCCCCCCTCACTCTCCTCCTCCCCTCAATCTACCGCTCTTTTCCCTCCTTGTCTTCCCTGCCACATCCCACCTGCGCCTCGCAATCACTGCTGCCCCCCTGCATCTCTCTTCACGCAACCCCTGCATCCTTGCTCCCTCTCCCCTCTCTCATCTCTCTCATCTTCCCTCCCCACTCCGCTCCGCCATCCCCCATCCCCTTGCCCTCCCCTCACTGCACGCTGCGTGGCAGCACCATACTCGCATCCGAGGTCCAATTGCACGTCGCCAAGTGTCCTGCAGCCGTGCAGAGGGGGTTGACAGAGGGAGCAGCGTACTTCAAGGGCGGCCTCAATGCGAGAGGGCCGCCACTAGGTGCCACCAGCAGCTCCACGGCCCAGGCAGGGGGTCATGCTGCTGCTGACTCCACTGCTGCTCATGCCCATATCGCTGCTGCTGCTGCTGCTGCTGCTGCTGCTGCTGCTGCTGCTGCTGCTGCCCCTGCGGCTCCCACTACTGCTGCTGCGGCGCCTGTGCCTGACGGACAGGCCACGGCTGCATCCGCCTCTGCCGGCAAGCGAATGGCCTCATCATCATCAGCAGCAGCAGCGAGGAGGCAGATGGTGGCGGCGCTGGGGCAAGGCGAGTGGCAGCGCCTGCTGCGCCTGCTGGGGGAGGCACACGCCGTGGCCTTTGGGGGCCACGACGGTCTGCCTCTCCCTCCCCTGACCGCCTTGGGAGAAGCCGAGGCAGCAGGCACGGTTGCAAGTAGGCAGGCAGCAGCAGCGGGAGCAGTACCAGCACCACCACCAGCAGCTGAAACAGGAGCGGCAGCAGCAGGAGGAGGAGGAGGAAGAGCAGCAGCAGCATTGCCACCAGCAGCAGGAGCAACGCCGCTGTTCACTTTGCAGCAGTCAGTGCTGTGGCCGCCTGCATGTGACGCGTGGGAACAGACTGCTAGAGACATGGGCGGGTGAGGCATGGGCGGGTGAGGCATCTCCCCTCTGGTTATCCCAACTCTGATGAAGCATGTCATGTACTTCTCCTTCCCCCCTGCTGTCCTCCCCTGCTCCCCTACCCTCTGCTCTCCTCTGCGCCCCTCTGCCCCCCTCCCCGTCCTCGCCGCACCTCACACCACCTCGCCAGGAGTGTGCCATTCAAGCCACGGCATGTGAGGCAGCATGCGTGCATCCGCGCCCGAGTGGTACTGCTGCACCCCCTCCTTGGCGCTCTGCTGTGTGCTCGTGCGTGTCGTGTCGGGTCATTTCATCTCCCCACTCCCCCCCTCTCCCCGCCTCTCCTCCCCTCGCCCCACCTGGCCAGGAGTGTGCCATTTGAGCCGCGCCATGTGAAGCAGCAGGCGTCCATCCTCGCCAACCTGGCCCGCGTGGGTCTGCTGCGCCCCCTGCCGCGCCCGCGCACGGTTGAGCGCCCAGCAACACAGACAGGCGCGCAGGCAGAGGGGGGTGCAGTGGTGCAGGGAGGGGCGCAAAGAGGCAGCAGCCCAGCAGGGCGCGTGAGAGGGGCAGCAGAGCAGGCAGGGGGGGAAGAGGCGGGGCAGCAGCGTGGGGGCGAAGCGGCGGTGGAGAAGCGGTCCCTCGCCGGGGGGGCTGCAGCCGTGCAGCACGCAGGGGAGGAGGAGGGGCGGCACGGTGGGCACAAGGGGCTGGAGGTCACAGTGCACGAGGGCGAGAGCAGGGGCGATGGCGGGGGCGATGGCGACAGCGAGGGGTCGGGCAGGGTGTATGTGGAGCTGGGCGCGGGCAGGGGGTACCTGACTCACATGCTGTGCTCGTGCTTCCTCGCCCGCCATGTGGTGCTCGTTGAACGCCGCGCCTACAAGTTCAAGGTGGGGATGGGAGGAGGGGTGGGGCAGCGGAGGGGTGGGAGAGGAGTGGGTGGGAGAGAGGAGGGGTGGGGGAGAGGAGTGGGGCAGAGGAGGGGTGGGAGAGGAGTGGGTGGGAGAGAGGAGGGTGGGGAGAGGAGGGGTGGGAGAGGAGGGGAGAGGGGGATTGGGAGGGCAGACGGGGGGACAGAGAAAGGGAGGTGGGAGGGAGGTGGGAGGGAGGTGGGAGAAGAAGGGCTGTACGTGGTTGGTAAGTCATGTAAGTGGGTGTAGGTTGGGTTGAATGGGTGTGCAAGGAGGGGCGAATGTGCCATGCTGCCATGGTCAGCACATGGTGACACTTTTGAGAATTCTCAGAAGGGAAAGTGGGAATGGAGGAGCGACTCACCGGCCCTTTTTTCCTTCTCCTCAGAAACAGGCATGCTGAGTGGGGTTGGCACGCGTGTGACATCCTCACTCCTCGTTGCCTCCCCCCTTTCATCGTCTCTCTAGCCCACGTTTTAATCTCTAACCTTCACCTCACCCTCGAAGGGTCCTTTATTGATAGAAGCATTGGGATACAAACAATAGGGCAGACTGGTGGGTGCAGCAATGCACGGATGGCACGACCTACTATACTAGTCTACCCCACCCTCCCCTATTTCTCCCTCATTTCCTACTTCTTCTCTCAATCCCACCTTACCTCCCACTTCCTCTCCCACTCCCCGCAACCCCCAGGCTCCTCTGCCCCTTCCCTTCTCCCCCTGTTCATCTCCCTTCCTCCCGTTTTCTCACTAATGTTATCTCTTCCACCTCCCCATCTCTTCTTGTTTTCGTATCCCAACCCCCCAACTGCCCCCCGGTCAACTCTCGTTGGCCCCGACACATTCTCCCATTGCAGGCCGATCGCGCTTTGAGGAAACTTCCAGGAGTTAGCCTGATGCGCGTCCGAGTTGACAGTAAGACTCTCAGATCGTGCCTTGCAGCATGGGCATGGGCATGGGCATGGGCATGGCATGGGCATGGGCATGGGCATGGGCATGGGCAGAAGCACCCTGATTGCCACATTAGCACGCTGGTCATCACCAAGCAAGCACCTCTCCAACGCTCACTTCCTCTCCAATACCAACCTTCTCTCCGCTCGCCCGCCTCTCCCCAACTACCCCTCTCCCATCCACCCCTCTTCCATCCATCCCTCCATGTATCCGCCGCCCCATGCAGTCGCGGATCTGCAGCTGGCAGCGCTGCCGAGCCTAGAGGGGCGCCTCCTGGTGGCAATCAGCAAGCACCTCTGCGGCCCCGCCACAGGTGAGACGTGACGTGGGGTGTGCAGGAGATAGCTGCTCCCCGCCACAGGTGCGCTGCTCCCCGCCACAGGTGCGCTGCTCCCCGCCACAGGTGCGCTGCTCCCCGCCACAGGTGCGCTGCTCCCCATTACTGGCCAAGCACCTCTGCTCCCCAGGGCATGTGCGGTGCTTCTGAAGGCTCTCGCGTGTGACATGTGGGGTGGTGGCATGTGGGGTGGTGGCATGTGGGGTGGTGGCATGTGGGGTGGTGGTATGTGGGGTGGTGGCATGTGGGGTGGTGGCATGTGGGGTGGTGGCATGTGGGGTGGTGGCATGTGGGGTGGTGGCATGTGGGGTGGTGGCATGTGGGGTGGTGGCATGTGGGGTGGTGGCATGTGGGGTGGTGGCATGTGGGGTGGTGGCATGTGGGGTGGTGGCATGTGGGGTGGTGGCATGTGGGGTGGTGGCATGTGGGGTGGTGGCATGTGGGGTGGTGGCATGTGGGGTGGTGGCATGTGGGGTGGTGGCATGTGACCTACAGTTTGGGGGTCCACAGGTGAGACGTGAGGTGGAGTGTGGGGGAGGTTCTTTGTGGGGGTGGGGGATTGGAGGAGGGTATGGCTGGGGAAAGGAATGCCCCAGTATTTCATTTCAACTGCTTCGTCCTCCCTCTCCTCCCGTCGCTGCTCTGTCACATGTGGCCATGCAGACTTGGCCCTTAGGTGCTGCCTGAACGCCTCACAGACAAGCCAACCCAGTCAACCGGGTCAACCAGGTCAGCAGGGTCAACCCAGTGAAGAGAGTCAACTCAGTCAAGGTCAACAGGAACCCAGTCAGAAGGGTCAACAGGGTCAACCCAGTCAAGAGAGGCATCAGGGAACGCGCCTGGCAGGGCTAGCCATTGCTACGTGCTGCCATCACCTGTGCGACTGGGATTCTTATGTCAGTAAGTGACTGTATTAAGGGTGACTGTATGAAGTCATAACACGCCCATGCATGCATGGCAGCATGCATGCATGGCAACATGCGTGCATGGCAGCATGCGTGCATGGCAGCATGTGTGCATGGCAGCATGTGTGCATGGCGACCTTTCGAACAGAATGTGAACCATGGGACATGCAGTAGGAGGTGTGTCTTCATTTCCTTCCTGCTTCTCGCCTTCCCTCCTTCCCTTGTTGCTTCACCCTCTCCCTCTCTCCTCCCCTTGTTCCCTCTTCCCCCCCTTCTCGCCTCTCCCCTCCCCCAGACCCGGCCTTCTTCACGCGACTGGGCTTCACCCCATCAGACTTTGCAGCGGTGGCATGGATGAGCAGCTGGGCGCTGCTGGAGGAAGGTAAGGGCGCAGGAGGGGGCGGTGACGGTGTGGATGGGAAGAGCATGGGAGGTGGTGAGGAGGAGGGCCAAGATGCAGGTGAGGTGGCCGGTGGTGCAGCAGCAGCAGCAGCAGCAGCAGCAGCAGCAGCAGCAGCAGCAGCAGCATCAGGAGTTGTCCGTTCAGAAGCAGCGGTAGCAGCCAAGCGGAATGGAATAGAAGTGGGGAAGGAAGGTATGGAGGAAGATCAGCCACAGGAGGCAGCAGCAGCAGCATCAGCAAAGGCAGCAAGCAGGCCAACCCCGTGGTTCGCGCATCTGTCAGTGGAGCACAAGGTGCAGGTGGGGAGGGCGTGCAAGATGCTGATAGATGCGGGGCGCCTGGAGTGGCTGCAAGGCAGGGGGCTGGGGATGGAGTATGTGGAGTACACCACTGCTGATGTGTCGCCTGAAAACAGGATGCTGCTTGCTGTTGGGAACCAAGAAAAACAGAAGGATGCATTTGGGAGCAGGCTCGAGTAGTTGCTATTGAAGTCGTAGTACCCGTATGCAGTTACCGTACTACCAGTAATGGTTTGTCGGAAATAATTTAATCCTGTTTTCATGTGATTTTTTTGCAGCAGTGCCCTTATCTGCAGTGAATTTTGTCAAAACATATGCACGTTATTATCTAGGCTATATTGGGGCTAGCCTTAGGGGGTACACAAATCATCTCGACACTCTAGTTTTGTACCCCAACCTTGACCTAATGACATCATTCCTGCCTAGCTTCTAAGATGGTATCAGAGCAGAAGGTCTTTAGGACCTAAGTTTAGGGCCCACCGGTTACCGCGTTACCTCACCTGCCTGCCTGCCTGCCTTACCTGCTGCCCGCGCGCGCCTCGGCTGCACGCGCGCGAATCTTTTTTTTAGCGCGCGCTGCTGCTGCAGCCACCTCCGCAGCCCGCTGCAGCGCCGCGCGCCGCGCCTGCAGCCTGCGCCGAGCCCGCGTCGCCCGCGCGCGGCTTGCAGCTGCCCCGCGCACCGCTCGCGCAGCCCGCGACGAGCCCGCGCAGCCCGCCGCCGCGTGCAGCCCGCAACCGCGCGCAGCCCGTCGCCTCGCGCAACCCGCAGCCGCGCGTGCCCTGCCCCGCGCGCCGCGTCTGCCGCCTGAGCAGCCCGCTGCTGCTCCGCTAGCTGCCTTAGGAGCGCGCGCGGCCTGCTGCTGCCTCGCGCGCCGCCTTAGGAGCTCGCGTGCGGCCCACTGCTGCCCCGCACGCCGCTGTAGGAGCCCGCGTGCGGCCCGCTGCTGCAGCCTACGCGCGGCCTGCTACTGCCCCGCGCGCTGCCTGAGCTGCCTTTGCCTGCTGCCTACTGCCTGTTGCCTGCTGCCTTTGCCTTTGCCTGCTGCCTGCTGCCTACTGCCTTTGCCTACTGGCTTTACCTGCGCTGCGATTATGGCGACGCTTAATGTTCTCGCGTTTGAGTCTGACGGTCGCCCGATAGAGTTCGCTGTCTGGCTTGACGATCTCCAACTTTTTCTTCTGACCGATGCCAAAGACGGCGTTTCACTGTTCGATTACGTGTCTGGCACTGCCGTTGCTCCTGCTGCCGATCACTGAGCGCGCGCATTTCAGCCAGCACAAAACTGCTAAGGCACTGTACGACGCTGTAGTTGCGCGCTACTCCTCCCCGGCCACTGCAGCCCTAGGACGGCTCATGCTACCCTACCTGTTCCCGACCTGTCCTTGTTTACCACTGCTGAGGACCTCATTTCTCACCTTCGCACTAGTGACACTCGCTTTCGTGCCGCCCTTCCAAGCCGAGTTCTGCGCCGCAAACCCCCCCCCCCCCCCGATGTACTTCACTCTCTATTTCCTCGTCACCCGCCTCCCTGACACTCTTAGCTCCGTCAGGGACCACTTCCTAGCCCTAGACCCTACCACTGTCACTGTCGCCGACTTCGAGAAGCACCTCCTTGCAGCAGAGAAGAACATCCTCGCTGTAGGTGCTCCTCGTGGTACTCCTCGCTCTCCCCTCTTTGAGGGGTGCTCCCCCTCCCCTCTTACCCCGTCCTACGCCTCCGCAGCTGCTGCTGTCGATCTCCTTGGTGCTGAGAAGGTCGCAGCTGCTTCCGCTCCTAGTGGGAAGCGCAGCGGCTCCAGGGGAGGCAAGGGTGGCAGGGGTGGCGGACGTGGCGGTGGAGGGGGCGGTGGTGGAGGCGGCGGGGGAGGTGAAGGTGGTGGGGGTGGTCGTGGGGGTGGAGGTGGTGGTGGGGTCGGTGGTGGTGCCGGGAGCGGTGGCGGTGGCGGCGGCGGTGGTGGCGGAGGGGGGAGTGGTGGTGGCAGTGGTGGTGGGGGCTTGGGTGACACCAGTGGTGGCCAGGGGCAGCAGCAGCAGCAGCAGCAGCAGCAGCAGCAGCAGCAGCAGCAGCAGCAGCAGCAGCCGCAGCAGCGTCAGCGCCAGACCCCCACTTCCCAGCAGCTTCATGACTGGTATGCCGGGCGTGGGGCGTCTGGGGGTCCTGGTCGCTGCCCCTATATCATTCGCGCAGGTCCCCGCGCTGGTCGCCAGTGCACCGGCTTTCACACTGAGTACCGCTGCTTCGCTCGGCTTAGCGACGCCTGGCGCGTCAAGTTTCCTGATGCTACTGAGTTCCCCAACTGGGCAGACCTGCTTAGACGTGATGTACCTATCTTTGATCTTGACTATGATGCTATCCTTGCTGCCATGTATGCATTGACTGTTAGTGCTGAGGGTGACTGCTACTTGTGTGTGCCGCCTGACCCCGGTATAGCCCTAGGTATAGCGCCTGCAGCTCTAGGTGCTTGTGAGTCTGCTCCCCCTGGTACTGCGTCCGCACAGGCCTTGCACACCTTTACACTTGACTCTGGTGCTTCCCGCTGTTTCTTTCACGACAGCACCATAGTCACTCCCCTCCCTGCACCTGTCCCTGTCTCACTGGCTGACCCCTCTAGGGGCCCAGTGCTTGCACGGCCTTCCACTGTGCTTCCGTGTCCGGCGGTCCCGTCTGGTGAGCTGTCTGGTCTCCACCTCCCCTCGTTCTCTACGAACTTGGTGAGCAACGCCGTTCTTCAGGATCACTGGGTTGACACCTTTACTCCTGGAGGACAGCGTGTGGCAATCTGCACGTGCTCCCGGACCGGCCGTCACCTGGCCACGTTCACACGTGCGCCTGGGTCCAGTCTGTACACCCTCACCACTGCGTCGCGCTCCACCCCTTTGTCTCCCCAGCTGTACGCATCTGCTCAGGTAGCTACCCAGTGTGAGTGTCGCCGGCTGTCGCACGACACTCTCCTGTGGCACCACCGCCTTGGTCACCCCTCGCCTTCGTAGCATGCACTCCCGCTTCCTGGTCTCTGGCCTACCCAGGTCTCTGCCTGCCCTCCCTCCCTCGCCTGAGCCGCCCTGCATTCCGTGCGTCGAGGGGCGGCAGCGCGCCGCTCCTCACTCCTCCTCGTTCCCTCCCACAGAGGCTCCATTGCAGACTCTCCACCTGGACGTGTGGGGCCCAGCCCGCGTCCGTGGACAGGGCCACGAGCGGTACTTTCTGCTGCTCGTCGACGACTACAAGCGTTACACCACGGTCTTCCCCTTGCAGCGCAAGGGGGAGGTCCCTGATGTTTTGATCCCCTGGATCCGCGCTGTTCGTCGCCAGCTCCGCGAGCGGTTCCAGTCAGACTTTCCTGTCCTGCGTCTGCACTCTGACAGAGGTGGTGAGTTCTCCTCAGACCTCTTCGCAGCCTTCTGTGCGGAGCACGGCATCCGCCAGACGTTCACGCTTCCGGCCTCTCCGCAGCAGAATGGGGTTGCTGAACGCCGCATTGGCTTAGTCATGGAGGTCGCTCGTACCTCCATGATCCATGCGGCTGCCCCCCATTTTCTGTGGCCGTTTGCGGTCCCGTACGCCGCGCATCAGCTCAACCTCTGGCCCCGTGTCTCCTTGTCGGAGACCTCGCCCACACTGCTGTGGACGGGGAAGGTTGGCGATGCGTCGCGTTTCCGAGTATGGGGTGCTCGTGCCTTTGTCCGCGATACCATCGCGGACAAGCTCTCCCCTCGCGCCATTCCCTGCGTCTTCCTTGGCTTTGTCCCTGACGCGCCTGGCAGGCAGTTTTACGACCCCGCCTCGCGCCGTGTCTTTCCGTCTCAGGACGTCACCTTTGACGAGTCAGTTCCCTTTTCCCATCTCTTTCCCTACCGCACTGCCCCTCGCCCCCCCCTCGCCGCTCTTTCTCGCCCCGGGTCCTCCCCTGGTAGACCCCCTCCCCGCGCCAGGTCCTGCTCCTTCAGGTGTCTCTCAGGTAGACCCTCCCGTACCTTCGCCTATTGAGGTCACTGGTGACTCAGGTCCTGCTGGGGGTGGTGCTGTCCCTGGGGGTACGGAGTTTGGGGGTGCGGAGCTTGGGGGTGCGGAGCGTTGGGGTGCTGAGCCTGGGGGTGTGGAGCCTGAGCGTGAGGACCCAGGAGGTGCTGAGACTGGGGGTGCAGAGTCTGGGGACACTGAGCCTGCGTGTGAGGAGCCTGAGGGTGCGGAGCCTGGAGGTGCTGAGCCTGCGCGTGACGAGCTTGGAGGTCCTGAGCCTGGGGGTGCTGCGTCTGGGGGTGCTGAGCCTGCGTGTGAGGAGCTTGTGGGTGCTGAGTCTGGGGGTGCGACGCCTGAGGGTTCTGATACTGCTGTTACGCGGTCTCCTTGGAGTAGTCGTCTTCGTCCGCGTGTGCCTCTCACCTCACAGCAGCTGAACGACTGGTACGGTCGCCGTCAGGGTCGCGCTTCTGGAGCTCGGGGCTCTGCTGCTGGAGGTACTTCTGCTGACGTCACTGGAGCTCGGAGTGGTGCTGGTCCTTTGTCTACTGGAGGTGCTGGAGTCGCTGGTCCCGGGTGCTCGTCCTGGAGGTACTGGAGCTGCTGGGGCTGGAGGTGCTGTGTCTGAGGGTGCTACTGCTGGAGACCCTGGGTCTGGGGGTGCTGCTGCTAGAGGCACTGATGCTGGAGACCCTGGGACTGGAGGTGCCGGTTCTGGGGGTGCTACAGCTGGTGGAGCTGGTCCTGGAGGAGCTGGCGCTGAGGGTTTTGGAGCTGCTGGAGGTGCTGGAGCTGCTGAGGGTACTGGAGCTGCTGGAGGTGCTGGAGCTGCTGGTGCTGGTGGCACTGCACAGCCGCGCCTGTTCTTCGCTCCGCCGTCTCCGTCGTCTCAGCCACCGCCTGACTCTGCGCTTCGCCAGGTTCTCAGTCTCCCTTCGTCTACTGGTCTTCCGTTACAGCCTCGCTCACCGCTGCCTGCTCCTTCTCCGTACACTGAGCAGGCAGGGGGCCTTGCTGAGCATCGTGAGCCTGCGTCGCGTCCTGTCTCGCCTATCCGTTCTGGTCGTTCCGGTCGTCGTGTTCCTCGTCAGCGTCAGCCGGCTGTCCCCGGCACCCACCTTGTAGTCTGTCGTCCTTCCTCTCCTCCGCCGCGTGTTCCTTTGCCATCTCCCCCTGCGTCCTCTCTGCCTGACGTTGCGGACCCTGAGTCTGACCAGTTTCGTACTGAGCACCCTACTGTCACGCGTCTGTTAGCCACTGTTGTCACTGACCCGTCGTTTGAGTCCACTGCTGCGTCTGCCCTAGTCGCTGAGCTTGTCGACTTTGCTGCTGCTTGTCGTCTAGACTACGCTGCTAGTCTTGTTGCTGAGTCTGAGTCTGTCTATCCTCCGTCCGTCGGGGGTGAGTGTGCTCTTAGCACGGACGTCCTTGAGGACAGGCACGAGGACCTTGAGTGTCTTGCGGCCGCTGCGCCTCATCTCGTGGCCATGCTGCTTGCCCCTGAGGGAGACCCGGATGCACCAGACATCCCGACCCCGCGCTCTTACGCTGAGGCGATCGCGTGTGAGTACTCTTCTCAGTGGCAGACAGCCATGGACGCAGAGATGGCATCCTGGAAGTCCATAGGCACGTACGTCGATGAGGTTCCCCCTCCCGGGGCGAACATCGTCGATGGCATGTGGATTTTCAGGGTGAAGCGGCCGCCAGGTTCTCCGCCTGTCTTCAAGGCTCGTTACGTTGCTCGAGGCTTCAGTCAGCGAGAGGGAGTTGACTTCTTCCAGACCTTCTCCCCCACCCCAAAGATGACCACTCTTCGGGTGCTGCTGCACGTTGGCACTCAGCGTGACTACGAGCTTCACTCGCTTGACTTCAGAACAGCTTTCTTACAGGGCAGCCTGCACGAGGAGATCTGGCTGCGCGCCCGCCTGGCTTCACTGGGTCGTTCCCTCGTGGTACCCAGTGGAGCCTCCGGCGGCCGGTCTACGGTCTGTGCCAGGCGCCACGTGAGTGGCACGACACACTGAGGACTACACTTGCGGCTCTTGGGTTTACTCCGTCGACTGCTGACCCGTCGCTGTTTCTGCGCACCGACACTTCACTGCCGCCGTTCTACATCCTCGTGTACGTCGACGACTTGGTCTTTGCCACTGCTGACACTGAGGCTCTCGCCCTGGTGAAGTCGGAGCTGCAGAAGAGACACACGTGCACAAACCTGGGTGCAGTTACCTTGGCTTGCAAATCACCCGGGACAGAGCACGCCGCACCATCACCCTGACTCAGTCACACATGGTGCAGGAGGTCCTTCAGCGCTTCGAATTCACCTGGTCCTCGACACAGGCCACTCCTCTGGCTACAGGTCACTCGCTCTCAGCTCCACCTTCGGACGAGTCCGTAGAGCCGAGTGGTCCTTACCCAGAGCTAGTTGGCTGCCTCATGTACCTGATGACCTGCACTCGTCCTAACCTCGCGTACCCTCTTGGCCTTCTGGCTCGCTACGTGGCTCCTGGTCGGCACCGAAAGGTGCACATGGATGCTGCTAAGAGGGTACTGTGCTACTTGTGCAGTACATCGGGCATGGGGCTCGTGCTTGGAGGACGGGCCGACGTTGTCCTCACTGGTCACTCGGACGCTTCTTGGGTGGACGACCAGGCTACGAAGCGGTCGTCACAGGGTTACACCTTCAGCCTTGGCTCTGGCTCTGTTTCTTGGCGTTCTACACGCTCGTCTTCAGTTCTCAGCTCCAGTTGTGAGGCTGAGATCTACGCCACAGCCATGGCTGCACAGGAGTTACGCTGGCTCACCTACCTGCTGACCGACCTGGGAGAGCGGCCTCGTTCTCCTCCAGTGCTGTACGTTGACAACAAGGCCGCCATTGCCTTGTGTCAGGAGCACAGACTGAAGCACAGAACGAAGCACATCGCTCTGCGCTACTTCCTGGCTCGAGAGTAGTAGCAGCGGGGTCAGCTTCGTCTTGCTCACGTGGCCACTCGGGCCAACACTGCTGATATATTCACCAATGCACTTCCGTCTGGTCATCATCAGCGTTTCTGCACTTTGTTAGGCCTTGTGCCCACGTTTCCTCACTTGCTGTAGTCTGTGCTTGTACTGTGATCTATATACGTATCTGCATGCTTGCTCTGCTATGTAGCGATCACTGTGCTGTTGTTGTTACATATATACCTCTGCATGTGAACTGGCCTTGTGGCCCTTTGCTTGTGCTCAGTGTGTGTGGTGACTTTGTGATCCACCCTGAGCTGTGTTTTGTTTCTTCTTTTGACTGGTCTTGTGACCATTGCTTGCTCTGGCTATCCCCCATTTCGCCTATGGGGGTGTGTCAAAACATATGCATGTTATTATCTAGGCTATATTGGGGCTAGCCTTAGGGGGTACACAAATCATCTCGACACTCTAGTTTTGTGCCCCAACCTTGACCTAATGACATCATTCCTGCCTAGCTTCTAAGAAATTTCTCCCATGCAGAGCTCCCTGATGCCTACCGGTATATGGGTTATCCCAGCACCACACAGTTCACAAAGCCATCCATTCATCCCTGTCCATGTAGTGTGAGGTAAAGAACCAATTGAGTCTGAGCTACTCTGCGGTAGGGATTCCTGATTTACAGCTATAACAACTGGTGTGGTAGTTGATTGCCAAGGTTGCAGGTTAGGAGGACGTTGCCAACAACGGGAAAACTGTGGCAATTACATAAAATTCTGCATTGAGAAAGCTTGCTTTCTGTTCTTGGAAGGCAACGACGTAACATGCTTCATTACAATTTGGTGTACGCCAAGGAAACATATTTAAGGCTGGTACGGTACGTTAGGACTCAGGTTCATGGTCCACAAAACCCAAACTATGGAATGCCAGTGTTACCTTAGCTAGACTTACAAACATTTCGAAATACTTGATCAGACAATGATTTCTAAATTGAGCGTGCATGTACCAGATCTATGCTTGTTATTCAATATTCCGTTTACAGCTATCATTGATTTTTTTGGTTCATGCCAAGTAACTACAAATAAACTGTTACCAACAACCTTCTAGATTTTCGACAACGCAACGATCGGAAGCCCAGAATTCGTGCTTTTCGCGAGTGATGCGTCCAATCTGATGTCGCGATTTGACAATAACACCTCACTCGATCTCTTGGGGATAAGCGAAGTGCCACGTGGACTGCGCGAAATCCTCCCCAGCTCTCCCCACCTTCTCCTGCTCGGAGGCAGCCTGACAGCGTGGATTGTCATCCAAAGGATTTACGTTACCAAGGAATCTCGAGGAGTAAGCCAATTTGCCGACGCTCCCACACAACAGGCACACTTCCCTGTTTGCCGAATTCCACCAGCAACCAAACTATCCGCCATGGCTGCCACCACCTCCGTCGCTGCCATGAACTTGGCTGCTCCCGTGGAGCTCGGCAACCCGGCCCAGAAGGCTTCCCGCGTGTTCAACAACACCGTGTCCTTCGCCCGCGCTGAGAAGGCTTCGCTCGCCGTCAGTGCCTCGGCTGAGGAGAAGCAGAGCAGGCGCTCGGCTCTTGCCCTCATTGCCACCACCGTTGCCGTCTCCCTTTCCGGCAGCGCTCAGGCCGTTACCGGCGTGAAGATCGAGGGCCCCCCTCCTCTGGCTGGTGGCCTTCGTAAGTGAACACGCCGCTCAGCAGTATTCACCCGATTGTTTTACCTTGATTGCATACGGGTTGCGCCGATGTAGCGCTCTTCAGCTTTACTGCTTCGCCTGAACGTCATCGTGTGTACTCCTTCCGTGTTTTACCTGCAGCCGGCACTGAGAACTCCGACCAGGCCCGTGACTTCGAGGCCCCCCTGAGCGAGCGGTTCTTCATCCAGATCAAGACCCCCGAGGAGGCTCTCGCCCGCGCTAAGGAGGTCGTCGGCGTCCTCCCCGAGGTTGAGGGCTACATCTCCAAGAAGGCCTGGCCCTATGTCCGCAACGAGCTGCGCTCCGAGCTCGGCTACTTGAGATACGATCTTGCCACCGTCATCGCCTCCAAGGCTAAGGCCGAGAAGAAGGCTCTTAACGCCGAGCTCAAGGAGCTGGTCACCACCCTGGAGTCGGTAAGTCGACGGTGCATTGAGTCTCTGCTTGGCTTGTTTTTTTTTTTTTTCCACACCATTCCCAACATCGACGTGCATACCATTTCTAAACTGTTAATGTGCACTTCCTCCCTTGCAGTTGGACTATGCCGCCCGCGTGAAGGACCAGGAGGCCGCTAAGAAGTTCTTTGATGCCACCAAGTCCAAGGTGTCTGCCCTCCTTGCTAAGCTGTAAATGTCCATCATATAAGTTTTGCTAAGATTTTTGTAACCTTTCAAAATAGCCCTACGTCTACCTCAGCTTGCTTTCCATTTCCATTGGTGGAAGTCAAAAACCGAGAGAAAAGAAAGGGGCCTCATGGTAATGGCTTGATAGCCTTACTTCATTCCTTGGTAATTGTTAGCTAAAAACGACGTGGGTTCTTCTCGGCAGCACACTTTCAAGATGGGACAGGGTTCACTATTTTATATTTCGGTTTTAAACCGATTTTCAGTTTAAATTGAACCTTCAGACATGATTTTTATATTGTCTCAAAACTACCGTTATACCCGCCGCCATAGTTTGTATGTGAATCCAGACATCCCGAATATTTTCATCTGACAGCGTCACTATACAAAAACTGCACTAAGGGCGACGTCAGGGCTGACTAGAGCATTCCATCTTACCCGTCAATCGTCACGAACTCGCGGTCTGTGTTTTCAGAGGCAAGCTGTGCTAGCGCTAGGAGCATCTCTTCGCAAGCATCGCGTAGTATGCCCATACGGAAAATTGTTGACCTCTGCTGATTCACCCAAGATGTTTCCAAAGAGTTTCAACACACAAATAACAACTAAAGATACTAAAGATGGTATCTTCGATAGAAGTAAAGCTTAGCGCCTGCAACGTTCACAAAACCCAAGTAGCTATGTATAGCGGTCGTAACAATAAATACCCCGATTGAGAACTCTTCTGTTTCCAGCCACCCTCACACCAGCGACAGCGAGCTCCCACCACCAGGCGGTTGGTGGATGCCGATGCAGCTGCGGATGTTGAGCTTTCCGTCCGCGAAAATATCCTCTCCCTGCAGCTCGCGACGCTTTGCCGCGCTAAGCTGCTGCTTCCCCGCGTCCGTCGGCTCCATCGTCCCGCGACCCATCAAATCGATTATCTTCCGATCGGACGGTCGACGTTTCGGCGGGCTTGGGGGGGTGTCTCCGCCAAAGATAATGGAGCTCGCACCACCGGGAAGCTGCGGACACAAAATCAAACAGATAATTAATGCGCTGCGCATGGCGAACGTACGACCCTGGAGAAGAACTTGGACAGGACTCCGTGTTGAAGCAGCTAAAAGCAGAAGAATAGAAGCTCGGGAATGAGTCTTGAAGCTTAGAAACGAAGCTTACCTGGTGCACGGTGATGGACGGGCGAACCTCCTCCACAACTTCCTCTCCGTACAACGACAGCGAGCCGTACAGGTCCTTGAGCTTCGCCTGGCACAGCGGGCGGCGATTCTCCTCGCTGTCCGGCTCGCAGCTGAGCGTGCCCATGAGGTCCGTCAGCTTCTGCGGGCACAGCGCCTTTGTCGGCAGGTAGTCCTCGTCGCCGAACAGAATCTGGCTCTTGCCGCCTGCAGGCTGAACGGGAGCAGGAGACGTCGGGGGTGACGTGATGGAGAAAAAAGGGAAGGGGAAACAAGCATTAAGAAATGAAGAGCCGGACCGAGAGCACTGTCTCAAACCGGAGAATACAATTTGCACGTAGAGCGGGCATGAAGGGGATCTCTTTGTTGAACTCTTGGCATAATCATCTTCATAACAAGTTGCTGGATTGCAATAATGTACAACACGGTATGCCGCGTGCGGACCTGGTGGAGGCGCACGCTGGGACGGTCGGTCTGATCGGACGGCGTGAAGATGTTGTCGGAAGCGGGTGCAACCTCGGGAGTCCTGCAAGGCGAAACAGCGGACAAGAACACAGGAACATTATATGGCGCATAATCCCACGACACAGTTAGGCGATTGGGGACGGAGAGAACAGCAAGAAGATGGATACGGATGGAATGAAGCTGAACGGGGTTGAGCGGGTGAACGAACGACAAAAGGGATAGTATCGTACTCTGATTGCTTGGTGTCAGCCTCCACGTGGGCGAGGACCACTTGGCTCTCAAAGTTTTTCTGCACGCAGGAACACAAGGAAACCGAGGAAGAAAACAAAAAGACCTTAGTGAGAGAGAGATTTCCCACAGCCAAGAAATGCCAGACGAGATTTGAAATCGGATGGTATCGTCTGCTACGATAGTCACGATCCGGACACTCAGTGCTCTCTTCACGAACCAAGCTTGGACAGACGGCGCAGCGTGACAGCCTATTCGACGAGAAAGCTACCTGGCTAAGGCGCTTGATGCACTTCTTTCCGCTACCAAGCACATCGGGAACGCCAGTGTCAGCGCCCTCGCTCCAGTTGAGCACATCGGCGGTGGAGTCGCCACCAGGGGGCTTCACCACTCTGTTAACTACCGTCATGTTGAACTTCGAAAGGAATCTCTAGCAAGAATTCAAGGCGTGCGTAGAAGAAATCGGTTGTCTTACTACTACGAACTTGGAAAGCGAGCACTATGAATTGCTTGAAGATGATAGATTGTGCTGGTGAGAAATGGTGGTGAGGTGTTTTGTGGGCTTGGTGAGGATGAGGGGAGGAGAAGTTACAGTAATGGGATGCAGAGGATGGGGGTGATGTGCAGCTGAACACGCGAGTCCCCCACCGAGACCCAAAAGGCATCACTGACTGCCCAGGGCGATTCTCGGCTGTCATCGCATGCCGTCGATATTGCGCGTGGCCGTTTGTTGCGTGCGATTTCTCACGTCGATTCCGCCAACCACTCCAAGCTGGGATGACATGCGCGCCATGCCTGCTCTCTGGTCCACGGAATTGGAAGATTTTGCGAGCCGCGTTTACGCGCCGCTTCTCAGGTAAGCATGATGTCATTCAGTTTTCCCGCGTTTGCATCCAGGCAGTGCCGCAGAGCAAGGGTTGTTTGAAAACGTTCTCATGTCCTGCGAGGTGGCACTCACCTCTCCAATTCAGCGGACATGTCGCACGAAGCACCCTTCAATACAAAAAAATTGCATAATAGGGTGGTTGTTACGAGTGCAATTGAGCGAGCGAGCGCGGGTTACCAACCAAACCGTGAGGTTGGGTCGCGTCGTGAACAGTGGCGGGAACAGTGTCGATGCGAGTGTCGCGAATGGTAACGGATTACTGTTGGGTGCTGTTGGCGGGAACAGTGGTGTACGCGCTGAGCAGGGACGCGAAGTAAGGAAAAGGAATTTTCCTTACACTACCCCCCCCTAGGGAGGACCTCCTTACGAGAGCGCGTGTACATCCCGGAAGTTTTGGCTGCGTAGATACTCGGTGAGGGCAGGGTGATTCTCAATTCTATCCAGGGGGGCCCAGTTGTCCTCCGTGGGCGTGCGGTCTTTCCAGCGGATCAGAAATTCGATCCTGCGAGCTCCTCGTGGGTCACGGACTCAGTGGCTCAGAATTTTCTCGGGCGTGATGATTGGCTCGGTCGGCGGTCGTGTCATGCTGGATGGGCGGTTGCGAGGCAGTTGGCTGGTGGATGGGACGTAAGGGCGAAGAAGGCTGACGTGGAATGAGGGGTTGACGTACCAGTCAGCAGGGAGGAGGAGGTGGGCGGTGACGGGCGTAATCATGTGGCTTATGCAAAATGGCCCGCATTATCGGGGGCGGAGTTTTGGGGTGATGGGCAGGCGGAGGTTCTGAGTGTCGAGTAAAACTAGGTCGTCAGGCTGGTAAGTGACAGGTCGGCGGTGGCGATCGGCGTTGCGTTTAGCGATGACGTTGGCCTTTTTAATTGCGTCGGCTGCTCTGGTCCGTGCTGCTTGCAAAATTTCGGCGAACTGCTGTGCACAAGGTACCGGGTTGTCGGGATTCGGGGTCATGGGTACTGTCGGGTCTTGTCCGTAGTTCAGGTAAAACGATGACTGTTGGGTCGTGGCGGATGGCGAGTTGTTGTATGCGAATTCAATGAGTGGTAATTGTTGTTCCCAGGTGGTTGGGTCGTCGCACGTGGCTCGGATGAGTTGCTCCATGGTCTGATTTGTCCGTTCTGTCTGTCCGTCGGTTTCGGGGTGGTACGAAGAACTGAACTGTAGTCGCGTGCCGAACTGCTGCCACAGGTTCCGCCAGAAGTTGCTGGTGAATTTCGTGTCGCGGTCGCTGATGATCGCTGATGGTATCCCGTGCAGTCGAACGACGGTGGAGATCAAGAGTCGAGCTGTTTCTTCGGCTGTGATCGATTTTTTGCAGGCTGCGAAATGTGCCATTTTCGTCAGTCGATCGACGACGACCAGGATCGCGTTGTTCCCACTCGCCCCGGCCGGTAACCCCGTGACGAAGTCCATCGTAACCTGCTGCCAAGCACGCTCTGGGGGTGGTATCGGCTGCAACTGTCCTGCCGGCCGCTTTCGTGATGATTTCATGAGCTGGCAAGTGGGACACGATGACACGTGTCGCTGTATGTCGGTCAACATCTCGGGCCAGTAATAATACCGCTGCAGCTGCTGCCATGTTTTCTCTACCCCGAAATGCCCCGAGGTAACTCCGTCGTGTGCCTCCTGTAACAGTAATTCCCGTAGCAGTGTATACCCGGGCACCCAGATGCGGTCGGTCCCGGCTTTTACGTAATAGAATCCCCTTGCTGCTGCGAACTGCTGCGAATTTCCTCCTGTGAAGAATGGATCCGTTTGGTACCCGTGGGTAAATAGGCCTGTCAGTAGTGGGCTGGTCTGGGCGAGTAGTATTGCATGGATCTGGGCAGTGGGGCGAGTCAGTGCGTCGGCGATGTTCGAGGCTCCCTTTTTGTAAGTGACCGTGTAGTGAAAATTGGACCCGAGAAAATCGAGCCAGCGAATCTGTCGTGGGTTGAGGTGGGGCTGTGCGCGGAGGTACTGTAGTGATTTATGGTCTGTCCGTACTGTCACGTCTGCGCTGGTCAAGTAACAGCGCCAGCATGTACGATTGCGAGCATTTCGTGGTCGTGTATCGGGTAGTTTTTCTCGGGCGGATGCAGTTTTCGTGACTCGTATGCGATGGGATGTAGGCCGTTGCCGAAATCCTGTAGCAGTACGGCTCCGATGGCGATGTCGCTGTCGTCTGTAACGACTTCGAATGGGCGGTGTGGGTCGGCGATGCGCAGTACGGGTGGTGAGCAGAGAATATTTTTCAGGGCAGAGAAGGCAGCATGCTCTTTCTCCCCCCACGTAAAAGCGAGTCCCTTCCGTAACAAGTCCATCAGCGGCGCTGTTAACCGTGCCATGTCGGGGACGAACCGACGCACGTAATTGACGAACCCCAAAAAACTCTGTAGTTCCGTGATATTCGTCGATGGGTGCCAGGCTTTCACTGTGTCCAACTTCTTCGGGTCAATTTCGACCCCAGCCTCCGAAATAACGTGCCTCAAAAACTCTAGCCTGTCCTGAAAAAACTCGCACTTGGAACCCTTGGTCAGTAGTTGATGCTCGTCTAAAATCTTAAACACTGCTTCCAGATCTGCTAAGTGCTGCTGCTTGTCGCGACTGTAGACGAGGATGTCGTCGAGGTAAACTATTACGCATTTATCTAAAAGTGGCCTAAACGCCTCGTTCATGGTCATCTGAAATGTCGCTGGTGCGTTGGTCAGCCCGAAGGGCATCACGGTGTACTCGAACGACCCGTACCTAGTCCGAAAAGCTGTCTTGGCGCAGTCCGATGGTTCGACTCGAATCTGATGGTAACCCCCCCGGAGATCTATTTTCGAAAAAACCCGTGCTGTTCGCAGTTGATCTATCAGCTCGTCGGAGCGCGGAATAGGGTATCGCGACTTGACTGTTACCCTGTTCAGGGCTCTGTAATCGATGCACATGCGGAACCCCCCGTCTTTTTTCGGCGTGAACAGGATTGGTGCGGCGAACGGGGAGGAACTCGGTCGGATGAATTTCTTCTCTAACAGGTAATCTAACTACTTCCTTAGCTCGTCGAGCTCGGGCTGTGTCAGTATGAACTGGCGTTGTACAGTTGGCTGTGCCCCCGGTTCTAACTCTATCTTGTGGTCGTGCGCCCGCTGAGGTGGCAGTCCCTCCGGTAAATTGTCGGGGAAAATCCCGGGGTACCGTTTCAACAGCTCCTGTAGTTCGGGCGGTACGGCTGCTAGCAGTTTCTGGAAATCGCTCGGCTGCTCTGCGTCGTCCCCTACTACAGCGATGTCCACTGCATACACGTCAGCTCCAGCGGCGACAGCCCGTTTCATGGTGACGGCGTTGACGTGTACCGTTGAAGACTCGGGCGACTGCCAGCGAGGTAGTTCGACCCAGTTACCACTACTTCGCACAGTGCAGCTATCCGTCGTCCAGTCAATTCGCGGGTTATACCGTCGCAGCCAATCACGTCCCAGTAAAATATCGTGCCCATCCAGTGTCGTCGCGAGCATTTCCTGTGTAAACCCGAAATTCCCCCCCGCAGCGGACTTTGACTCTCTCCACCTTTTCCCGTATGGCCAGTGGCGTGCCGTCAACTAAGCGGGCATCTATCTCAGGTAAGCAACGGCTAAGTGCCAGTTCTAGTTTCCGTGCGGTTGCGGTATTAACTAAACTGTGACTTGCTCCTCCGTCGATAAAAATCTTCACTGCTGCTCCCTGTATTTTCCCGTGGATCAGTACTGGGCAACCCGTCGCTGTACCCTCCTTATTCGTCTGAGCCCGATCGATGGCGTGAATCTGTACTGTGACTCGGTGAGGGTCGGTGCGGTTGGGCGAGCAGGCAGTCTCGTCAGTAGTTGGCCCAACTTCTACTGACTGCTGGCGTTTCCCTGCCTCTGAGACTCCCTCCCCTGCTCTGCTCCGCGGTGCCTCAGCTCCTCTGGGCATTCGCTCTTGCGATGGCCCGGCCTGTTGCAAGCAAAGCAGCGCCCCTTAAACGGCGCGGCAGCTGCATTCGTCGCAACGGCATGTACGGTGGCGTGCTCGATCGGTCCCCGAGGGCGATGTCCGTAATAGGACCCCGGTCTCGGACGGCGCAAAATGTCGATTTTCTCGGCGAGCGCGAGAATCTCGTTGAAGTTCGAGAGCCCGCGTAGCATGATCTCGTGGGAGATGTCTGGCTTCAGCCCTCCGACGTAACGGTCCACCCGCTCCGCCTCGTGCATGTAGCCGACTTGCTCGCATAATGCGAGAAAACCGCTCGTGTAGTCTTGAACCGACCCGAGCTGCCGCCAAGTACGCAGTCTCTGACGCGCCGAAATAGAAGCCGCGATCGGCTCGAAGCGCGCCCGAAGCCCTGCGCACCACGCATCCCACGTGCTGTACTGGGCGGTTTCGCAGAATGAACTCCAGGTGACGGCTGGACCTGTGGGCCCTTCCTCTTGCGACGGTGGCTCGTAGGCGCATGGCGACGTCACGATGACTCGCCACCAGTCCATGGCGGGGCCCCTCAGCAGCGAGACGGCATATCGGATCTTCGCTGCGTC